AACCTGTTTAAAATACTGAATTGCCAAGACAGGAACAATGTAAAAACACTTAGATATATATCATAACAATTAAGGCTGGTAAGTTACTGTAGTAACTGGAGCACCTAGGTTAAAAATGAAATGTAATTTATTTTGAATTTGGAACAAATAAAGAGTTAAAAAAAAAAAAAAAAAAAAAACGTTTTTGAAACGTGTAATAGCAGCGCATGCCAATTTCCATACAAAATGGTTTACAAGTTGTAACTTTGTTCTCTTAAGATCAATTGATCTGATACGTTCGCCACAGAACTACAAATATGAACAATATTACGATTACAAAATACCAAAATTTTGGAAGCACCTGCCGAAAGTGAGACACTAGGTAAAATTGTTTAAAATAATAGCAGTACTAATAATTTGGAGTTCAGCTCAATTTTAAGATTTTAAATTTTACATTTCTCAGAATTCTAACAATCCCCAGCCAATTAACAAATGTACATAATAGTTAAAAATGTTTAAAATATTTGCAGTACATAAAAATTCAAATAAAAAACTGCTATTATTTTGAACACTCTTTACCTAGTGTCTCACTTTCCAACAGGTGCTTCCAAAAATTTGGTATTTTGTAATCGAACATAGTTGTAGTTCTGTAAAGTAATTCAAAGCTTGTCATTGTTCTACTTGATACCAAAATATTGATCAAGGCAGAAGAACGTCGAGTCGTCGTTATTTAAATTAATCGGCATAAGGAAATGAAGTTTTGTGCAAAGTAAATAGTGAATTGACATACATGAGTTTAATCAAATAAGCATTGTTGAAGTGGTTGTGGGAAATGAAAATATGCGACATTGTTGGGTTGGAGAATGATAAATAGTAACTTGAAAATTTGAGTGTAATTAAGTCACAAGCTCCACACCAAATGACGAATCGATCTGACGCGACCTTATTTGCATGAAGCATTGCATTATTTTTTGTTATGATCAATTATTTTTTACACAATTTTTTTTTCGTCCATATCGTGTGATCTCAAATTGCAGCCAAATTTAGTGCTTAAACAAATTAGAAAAAAAAAACATAGAAAAATATGATGGTACTGACATTTCTGTACTCATCCAAAATGAGAAGAAAATCGAAAAAAATAAAATCGTGTTAGTGAATTGAGTGTATTCATATTTGAACTAAAATGCATTCATTCTGAATCTAGCAAAATACTTCAAAATGGAGGATTCTAAAATTATACAAATTATATCAAAATCAACAAATTATAACACGAAAACGTTACTTCCAATCGAAATAACGTCTGAGGCAAAGTCATAGGAAAGTCACATATTTTATTTAGAAAAAAATATACATGCTAATAAATTTAAGACATCAGGTATCTGGGTATATAGGTACCCAATATCAGAAAAGTATTAAAAAACAATTAAAACCTTCAATAATTTTTGAATATGTTTTTAATAAAAGGCTTATTAAAATGCTATCTTCTGTGAACTTTTAAGATGGACACTTAAAAATTAACAAAAATTATTGAACATGAATTTTTAGGCACATTTTGGAACTTTCCGTTTGAAATTTTTTAAACAGAAACCAAGTTTTTAGACTTTTCAAATCGATTGCCGTACAAAAAAAAAATATGGGCAAGACCTTTAAAAATTTGACCAAAAGTTGTTGTTCTATGATTTTTGATAATTTTCAAGTGTCTATCTTGAAATTTTCATTAAAGGTAGCATTTTTTATAAGCTAAAAATATTCAATACATATTGAGAGAGTATTCAAGTTTTAAACCCATAATTACTTGAAATAATTTACCGAGTATCGTAATTATGTTTTCCTTCAACTTTGTGGCAGACGTCATGTCGATTAAAAGTGCCACTTTCAAGTAAGGATTTGTTGAAAAATATCGAATACGCCAGTTTGAAGTTTTGAGCAACATTCAAAATGGCCGAATTTTAGCTCAAATGTGAATGATTGACCATAGTAAACAATTATCCAATGTTTCATGCAAACCGGAGAAGATCGAGTCTGAAATCCAATTTTGCCTTGCTATTTGGCCTGGAAATGGCTTCCTTATCTCAGTCGGTAAAGGCGCAGCTATAAAGCAAGACCATGCTGGAGGTGGCTGATCGAACCCATCTCGGTCCGGTCTAGGACATTTTCGGGTTAGGAAGTTTCTCGTATTCCCTGGGCTTAGAGTATGATTGTATTTGCCACACAATTATGCTTATGCAAAAAATGGTACAGGCATCGGAAGATCTCAATTATGTTAAGAGCACGCAATAAGCTTATATGCGATGAGCAATAAGCTTGAAATGCGAGGAAATAAAAGAAGAAGAAGAAGGTCTGCACAACATTTAAATTAGTTAGAAGGGTTCGATCTCATCGATCTCAGGTTAAAAGGTCTCGACTGATAAATTCAGGTTTTTTAAACAAACATTCCCAAACCTTGACAAATTAACGAATAAATGGAATAAACATGAAATATTTGCTGCGATTTCATTTGAAAGGAATGCTGCTAAGAGTACTGCTGAATTCTTGGGTAATATGAAGGAATTAGTGAAAAACATTTATGATGTTTTGTAACTCAATTCCTACCTCAGTAGATGGTACCTTGAATATCGAGTAAGGGAGACTTTTGCCGATCAAAGAAAAAGAAGAAATTTATCCAAGCAGGTATCATCTGCTTTGAATATGAAAATTAATTTGGAGTTATGTTGTTGTAATGATATTTGGCAGTGTGAATCAACATTGTTTATTTTCATTGCTGTTCGTTCCTTCATTATAACCTGTTACAATTTTGATGCAGGATGAATTATTGTTTTGATTTTACCTAGTGAACTATTCATCCAAACCGTTGAAAAATCTGGCAACGATCTGAGTTTCATACGACAAAGAAGCTATTTCAGATTACTCCAACAAAAATCACGTGAAAACAGATTACTTTAATACCTTATTACGTTGTACATAGTTGGAGATGCAGCAATCAACTTCGCATTGGGGATGATTTCCATCATGCCCGCAGACTATTACTTTATCTTCTCGGATAGTCTCAGTTCGATCGAGGCTATTCGGTCGATGAAACAAGGTAGGCACTCATCTTATTTCCTTTCAAAGGTAAGGGAGCAGATGAGTTTGCTGGTCGAAAGATCATATATGATTAACTTTGTATGGGTCCCTTCACATTGCTCAATCCCAGGCAATGAGAAGGTGGGCGCGCAGGAAGGCGAATTGTATGACAGGCAAATTTTACACGATGAATTTTACCATTTAGTGCGTCAGAGTACCCTGGCAAACCGATTGGGACAATGGAAATCTTGGACGGTGGTTACATTCAATTATTCCTAATGTTTCTTCGAGAGCGTGGTTTAAAGGCTTGAACTTAAGTCGTGACTTCATTCACGTGATGAGTAGACTTATGTCCAACCACTACTCGCTAAATGCTCACCTCAATAGAATAAACCTCGTGGACAGCAACATCTGTCGGTGTGGAAACGGTTACGATGACATCAATCACGCAGTTTGGCAATGTACGGATAATGACGCCGCCAGAGAGCGACTTTTGAATACCCTCGAGGCCCAAGGAAGACAACCCTATGTTCCTATCAGAGACGTGTTGGGAACTCGCGATATCTGCTATATGCAGTCGGTTTATGTGTTTCTTCAAATGCCTAGTATAAGAATTTAATTCCTTTGTCTTTTGTGTCTCTTCAATAGTTTTGTTTGTCTTGATGTATTTGTCCCCCATAGCCGGTCGAACTCCAGACGAAACTAGAACCGCACTACCGTTCATACTGGCGACAACGCTCTGATGAGACAACGAAACCTTACCCCCAAGCTCCTCCCCTGATCCTATCATTCGACAATGTACCTATCTAACTTCGAGTAAGCCGCGAGTATTCGGCCCAACTCCTACTAGACATAGAATTAAGAGAATTTTGTTACAAACAAAGAACAATGAACTATCGGCTCTGTAAAGCTAACGCGATTAAGCCTTCCAAATAAAAGAACTAGTTAAAAATAGCTGGAGATGTTTAACGTCAAATATCAGACTTAAAGTGGTCATTTTAGTTCCGTCAGATTACGGCAGTGTGAAAATTGAAATTGGAGCTATTGTTGCCTTTACCGCTGTATATGCACTGCCGTAACCTAACGGAATTATCAACTATTACTTTCATCTCCTCATCTATGTATTGTATAAAATTACCACTTTAAGTCTGATATTTGATGTTAAGCATCTCCAACTATGTAAATCGTTAACTTCGCGCATGAAGCAATACAAACATGATTAGTTAAAGCGCTCATCACGTTGTTTTTCCTTTTAAATCTACTACTGTTGTATCAGTTTCACTATTCACTTTTACTATCACTTTGAAAAACCTTTAACAGATACGTTTACTACTTGAAAACTTCTTCTAGACTATGACTTGACACTGAAGAAGTTTGCTAGTAGTGAACGAAATACGAATACGAATACGTTATAGGTTTTTAAAGGTGATAGTGAAAATTAATAGTGAAAGTGATACATTAGTAGAAGAATTAAAAGGGAAAACAACGTAATAAGGTATACAATTATTCTACTAAAACGTTCATCAATTAGTTTTGAGATTTATTTTCTTTTTATGAATAAGAGATTTACGCAATGGTTTTGGAAAACAATTTGTTTCAATTCATGAATCATATCATTATTCATAGTGCTTTTTGACAGACTTTTGAACAAATAAAATAAAAGTTAGAGCGATATTAGTGAAATATCCTTTTTTATTTTGAAATGCACCCTATCCCATACCGGGATGACTGTATTTCCAAAAACAAAATTGGATCCTTCAACCATAAATTAAATAGAAATAATTTGACATAGCTTCACAGTAGAACAGGTTTAAAAAAAACATCAAATCTATGTCAGAAATGGATTAAATGAAAAAAGAACTCGTTTCTATACGAAAACATAATCCAAGACATGCCCAAAAAAGAAACATCCACCCTCACGCAAAGAAACCGCTCTACATAGATGCACACACACATACCTTTGCTTTTCCCGTTGCACATTCTCCGCTTTCCGCGCACCTTAATGCGCTTGATGATCGACATATAGTTATCGCCTTGCTGACTTCCGGGGCCGCACTTGATGCTGTCCACCGAGAGGTGTGTGTCGTTCTCGACCAGCTTCAGCAGCTTTTCCACACTGTCCAGCTGCTCCTGGGAGGAGTCCTCATCGGCATTCTCGGTGAATGCACTGATTTCAGCGACTTTCTTCATGTTTGTCTAAAATCACTGACCACTTGTTTGTTATTTCTCACGAATTTCACTTTGCACCAAAATATCGATTCCATTCAATTCAATGCACTGTGCGTTGCATCTTCACTTCTACAGCAAAAATAACTACGGGAACTACGGGAAGGCACAACACTTTCGACACTAATCCATCGAATATTGCTTTCTGATTTCACTAATCACACTTTGAGATGCACCTTGTTAGAAGCACGTAGAGTACATAGAAGAGCGCACCCAACAACGGTAGAGAGCTCTATGGAACTGGTCTGCGAAGCTCGGTTCGGTTTTACTCACGGCCGCGGTGCAACTGGAAATGCAACTGAAAATGTACATTTTTGCTTTATTTTCCGCTCCTATTGGCACTCGCTTGTTCTCGCTGGGTTGCATGACTATGTATTTACCCACAGCAAAAGGGAGTTGTGGGGAGGTGACGATGCACTCGCCGCTACACGCTGAATACAAGATCTACGGTTGATAAATGTGGACCAAGTTCTACTTTTGGGAAAATACCCTAAGTATTCTCCCACGAACTCAACCGTATTGCGTTAAAATAAGGTAAAAATTGATCACCTTAAATTTCCTCAAAAGAATTTTCACACTGTACTCGTGCCCTTCAAGAGCATCGGTTCTGCGAACTAGATTCTTGTCAAGGAAAAACTGCATTCGTGTTTCATTTAACCCACCGCCGCCGACTCAAAACAGAATGGTGGAACGCGCGCGCAAAATGGTGTTGGTGTGAGTGGATGCAGTCAGCCAGCATGGTTCTGCACTTTCGCTCTCGCGCATTGTCTCTCGCTCTCTCCACTCGTAAGCTTTGCGTTCATTCTGGCCACTCAGTATTTGTGGCAGTTAGAAAACATGTGGGTGCTACGATTTTGCGCCACTTTTCAAATCGATTCATTTGGCAGCTTTTGGCATTAAGCTCATGAATGGGTAACACTTTCAAACTCATCAGAGAAGGCTAGGAAAAGCGAAGAAGAGCTTTTAAGCTTTTTACTGATTACTGAATGCCACGCTTGAGGTGGGGTTGATTTGGACGGTTGCATCGATGTAAAGCACCATGCTGCTGCTTTGAAATATGAAGTTCGAAGCGGTTCCTCGCGCGTTTTCTGACTAGCAAGAAAAAGTTTCTCTTCCCGATTAGATGGGTAAAAATTGAAGTACACGGAGAATGAGAACGACTCAAATTTGAGTTTAGTTCACTCATAATCGCCAAAAGTGCAGGAACTCAGCGATGAGTAAAATTTGTCTCATGGTTTCCTGTGGAAAACCCTAAAAAATCTGCCGGAAAATGAGGAAATTGACGAAAATTTTATTCAGTACCAATAGACTGAGTGAATCCAATCTTTACTTTTCTCAAATTCGTGAATTTTTCCCTAGAAAATCCTGGAAAAACCTGGGAAAACATGAGGCAAATTAACTCACCGCTGAGTTCCTGCACTTTTGGCTATTATGAGTGAACTAAACTCAAATTTGAGTCGTTCTCATTCGCCGTGTAGAAGTTCATTGCGTTTTAAATTTTCAGTTGAGTTTAGTTGTCTTTCGCTTCCCGGAAAAAAACATACAATTACCATAAAATAAAATACAGTTGCAACGAAATCTATAGTCAACAATCTATCTTATTTTACGTATATTGTACAAGAAATTTTAACATATTGTTATTACAATAGATGTACAATATATCCCATATTGTAAGGAATTTCAACAATAGAACAATATTACAATTAACGGTAAATGGCGCAAGTTTGTTCGAGAAAAAGTGATTTTTCGTATGGTTAAGATACATAAGTACCCCCTTGTTCTATTGTAGATCTCTCCATTTACCATAGATTCTATTGTGGAAATAATAAATTCTATGGTTATTTTATTGTTGTAGACGGTACGATTTACTGTGAATACAATAAATTCTATTGTATGATTACAATGCATTTCATTGCACCTCTGTGGTTCCTTTTTTACGGGTTGATACCTAGATCTGAACGGTGGTTTTGCTCTATCTATGCACATAATCTTTAATTTACAGTCTGCACTTCGAATTGCAGGCAATATAGAGAAAACATTGCTTATGTCCTAGGAGTACGCTAAACGTTGGCTAAATGAAAAAGACTTTTAAATTATTTAAAATAAATCCAACTACAGTCAAGTATCTAAACCCATAGTCCACTTAGTGAAAGGATTTCGTTAGTTGGGCTGAGCAGTCAAAGCAGAAAATTAGTTGAGGGATACACCGATTGTTTATTATCATCGAAATCGTGTATCAGCTCAGCGAAATTCACAAACATTTGAGAACGGATGAAGTTAGGGACAAAGTTTATGGGAACTAATTCAATAAACATTAGTTGCAGAATCATTTATTGGTATTATTTAACTTAGAAAGTTTGATGAAAAAAAAAACTTTTAAGCATTTATTCATTATATACTTTGCACCAGATTTAAGGGCATACCTTCAGCTCTCTTCACAAAAACAAAATCGAAGGGGGGATCTTTTGAGAAAACTAGCAATTTAACTACTTCTACTACTACTACTTCTTCTCAGACGTGATTTTGATCAAATATACCGTTTTCAAGTTTTGATTAAATATACCATTTTCAATTTATGATTTTTTTTGTAAAAAATAAGCCCCAATTTTTAATAAGTTCTTATCAAGTGGTTGGTCACTAGGATGGGTCATCATGATCATTTTTTTCAGAACAATGTTTTTTTGGTTCCATTTGGGGTCCCAAACAACTATGCAAAACTTGGGGACGATTGGTTGTAACCCGGCTTTCCGCATTGCGTTTGAAATTTGTATATAAATTACTATGGGAAAACCTACTTTTTTGCATCTTTATTACTAGGGACCACAAAACACGCATCTAAATACGTTAAAGTATTGCCCAGAAAGTGCCTAACAACTTTACCAAAGGATGTATTGTACTAGAATGCCCCTTATAAAAGTTATAGCTGTTCAAAAATCACTGTTTCGAATTAAATGCCAAAAATCCCTTTTTCTGCCAACACTGCCGGTGTACCAATGAAAGTCAAACTCCAAACTGAAATAGTTTTGAAGTTGATTATTTTATCGGTTTGGAATGTTCAGATATGCTTAGTCGAAGTCTACTCTTTTGGTGCAGTATACAATGTCAGATATATTCACACAAATGTCATTGGATTGTAATGATTATATTTCATTTTATTATATTCTACGGTTTCTCGAGGTACTCTTTTCGATTCGTGAAGCAAATATTGCTGTTGAACTAGGTCTCGGGTGAATTTCTTGATAAGTCAGAAATTAGTTTCACACCTCATTCAGCCATATCGTTGACAACCATCAAGGAAGCAACTCGTTGTATCGCATTGAAATAATCTGTAAAGGGTGTCCACGATGAAATTGCCACACTATGAGATTGCTCTAACTTTTTAACCGTTGGGTAGAATTTAATGAAAATTTGGGTGGATTTAGTTCATAGTGCATTATTTACATCCTGCAAGTTTTAAAGTCCTGTGATCAAAACTCGCGGAAATGGAGTCGAAAGAACAGCTCGTGCGTGATAAAATCTTGCGCATTCATCACGAGTACAAGGATCTCTAGCATCGTTCCATCGCTAAAACGTTGGGAATCGCGAATTCCACGGTGTCGCGAGTGATTAAGCGGTTCGAGGAACGGTTGACCACCGATCGGAAGCCCAGAAGTGAAGGAAAAAGTATTCCGTACAACACCAAAAATCACAACCGCGTAGTTGGGGCCTTCAACCGAAATCCGAACGCCTCCGTTAGGGATGTGGCTAAGAAGCTGCACCTAAGCCGAAGTTTTGTCCAGAAGGCCAAAACTAAGGCTGGGCTTCGAACGTTCAAGGTACAAAAGGCCCCTAATCGCGACGAGAAGCAGAACAAGTCCGCCAAAACCCGTGCCAGGAAGTTGTACCTCAACATGCTGACGAAAGTTGAGTGCTGCATCATGGACGACGAAACATATGTGAAAGCCGACTTCAAACAGATCCCCGGCAACCTGTTTTTCACGGCCAAGGATAAGTTCAGCGTTCCGGAGCATGTCCGCACTCATAAGATGTCCAAATTTGCGAAGAAATTCCTGGTTTGGCAAGCCATCTGCACGTGCGGGAAGCGGAGTGCACCTTTCGTGACCCAGGACACGATGAACGGACAGGTGTACATAAAAGAGTGCCTCCAGAAGCGGCTGCTTCCTCTCCTGAAGGCCCACAACGTCCCAACAATCTTCTGGCCGGATTTGGCCTCATGCCACTACTCCAAGGACGTGCTGAAGTGGTATGCGGACAATAAGGTCAATTTCGTGCCGAAAATGTTCAACCCTCCCAACACTCCGGAGCTCCGCCCCATCGAGAAGTACTGGGCAATTATGAAGCAGCACCTTCTTAAACGACCTAAGGTAGTGAAGACAGTCGAGGAACTGAAGAAAGTATGGGTTTACATGCAAAAAACGGTTGATTCACAGGTTGTGCAGAATCTTATGGCCGGGGTTAAGGCCAAGGTGCGGGCATTTGCGTATGGACTGTAAATAAAATACGAGTAAAATGGTAAAATGAAGTTTAATAGTTATTTCTCAATCCCTGAAAATTTGATGGCAATCGGATAAAACTCGAATTTTGCGAATCAATTTTGTGTGTGACAATTTCATCGTGGACACCCTTTATCATTACTCCACTCGTTTGCCGGTTTTTGCATGAAGCCGGTCGAAATTTCGAAAAGGAATCAGCACTGTTATAAATGCCGTTTGACTTGGGAGCCCAACTGAAACGTAGCCCACTTAAAGTTAGCCCAACAAGCGAAATCCGACTGTACCTGTATCTGAGACGAAACTTATGAAGACAGTTTAAGTTTTCTACTATTTTTTTGTTTTTGACGTACGGCTACTTCTGTGTTTTCTATATGCGGGTGGCCCGAATGGCAGTTTAATATTTCAAATAAAAGCTTTATATAGAAATAATATAGCAGCTGGACTAATAATTCAAACAACATCTCCTCACTAACAAATGAACGGACAAGTGGATATTAAATATTTACACTACAACAATTTTCGTTTTAAAACTTCAAATAGTTATCCTCACTTTCAGACCGTTAATACTCGCGCACATAGAATGGACTATGGCCGTTCCGGTGGTACTGATAGTGACGGTTGCATAAAACGTCAGCGACGACTGGGTTGTGACTCACAACTTGTGAGAGTTAGAGTCGGTGTGAGTCACGTTAAGAGTAAAGCCAAGTCGACCTATTGAACTGTCAAACCGGCTACCTATCGTGCAAAGTAAACCAACATTACGGTGCTATGAAAGGTCTACGAAAGGTATTGCAATAAAATATAA